CACTCGGGACACTCACATAAGCGCTCCGTTCCCATCTTCAGCAGCAAGCGAAGAGTTAAAATTCAGATTGTACCAGTAACTGTCTGATTGTACATCCGTCTCGCCTTTCCCTTGAGCATGAACGTCGGCCAGATCCCCTGGTAACTCCCCGAAGCGCCATTCTCCGCAGACCGTAATGATCTGTTTGTGTCTCCGCACTGTTCACTCGCTCCCACAGGACCCTCACAACGTCCAGCTTGTCATACATCACTTCGCCACCAAGTGGTGCAAAACCGGCCAGTCTATCTGCCTGCTCGTTTATATACTTCCTATTGATTTTGTATTATGAATAACGTCCCTGCTGGGACTAAAAGTTATTTCTTGTTAGTCGAGTGTTCGTCCTATTACGCGTTAACGAGGTTTGACTGTATTAGAAAAGACAAAACTCCACATATCCCAGTTTATAAATCCATGAGAGTCTAATAGGATACCATCTAATAGGATACTACTGATTAAATTACTACTGCTGCTGCTGACAGCCGTCGACTGCTGCTGCTACTACTACTACTACTACTACTACTACTACTACTACTACTACTACTACTACTACTACTACTACTACTACTACTACTACTACTACTACTACTACTACTACTACTACTACTACTACTACTACTACTACTACTACTACTACTACTACTACTACTACTACTACTACTACTACTACTACTACTACTACTACTACTACTACTACTACTACTACTACTACTACTACTACTACTACTACTACTACTACTACTACTACTACTACTACTACTACTACTACTACTACTACTACTACTACTACTACTACTACTACTACTACTACTACTACTACTACTACTACTACTACTACTACTACTACTACTACTACTACTACTACTACTACTACTACTACTACTACTACTACTACTACTACTACTACTACTACTACTACTACTACTACTACTACTACTACTACTACTACTACTACTACTACTACTACTACTACTACTACTACTACTACTACTACTACTAACTTACTACTACTACTACTACTACTACTACTACTACTACTACTACTACTACTACTACTACTACTACTACTACTACTACTACTACTACTACTATTACTACCAGTACTACTACTATTACTACTACATATTACACAGATAACGGTATTTACTTCTTCTTCTTCTTCTTATAGGGCGTTGTGCTGTTGTTTACACCTAGGTAAAAAAAGTTGCATATTTCCTCTCAGCGCATTTACTTTAGGTCGCTATCTAGGACATCATTGTTAGAGGGTTGTTGGTACATTCATACGATCCCCCCCCCCCCCCCCCCTTTTCTCCCCCAGTTGTACCCTGGAGCCTACGCGGAGAGCAGTTGATGTGATGTCACATAATTAATTCTAGCTAGCTAAACATTAGTTAGTAGTAGATCTGAAAGCGACACATTCTAAATCTCATGTGTTTCTAGATGTCACTGTTTATATTGTGTAGTGTGCCTTCTAAACTCTACTTCTATTTCATCAGTTCAGATGTGTTTTTTAAATGTTACTTCTATCTTAATTTCCAGTGTCTGTACACGCTCAAGAGTCAGTCATAATGCAGCTATTCCTAGGAGTTGTTTGTTTATGATGTAATGACGCGAAAATATTGCAAGCACGATAAGCAAAATTGTGTCGGCTAAGTTCACTGAATCTTTAAAACTGCTACATAAAGATCGATGAAAGGAGAGGACATGCTCTGATTCAATGGCTAGAAAGAAGCACAGGTCTTGACATACGCCCATATGTACCCTGCCTTCCTTAGCAAACACTCTAAAAGCCCACCCATATACCAGTGGTGATGTGTGATCAGATCACACATGTAAGCGTTAGCATGTAACTGATATACTGAAGAGGGGTATCACGTGACGTTTTCCTTCTTGTCGATTCGCTATTTAGAATATGCATGCGCAGTTATTATTGTAAGTCCAAGTAACTACTAGCTTTTACACGTTACAGTGTCTAAATCAGTGACGTAAGCATGCAGTGAGCTTTCTTTTCCCCTATGTTTATGACGCAAACCGAGCGGTGTATTTGTAATTAATAGTAAACATTATCAAAAAAATAGTAAAACCATTTTTGTCTTTGACAGTGAAAAGTGTAAGCGGCAATTACAGCTGTTACGTGCACGCCTGGCCACTGCTAAATACTCAAAATCGACAATTGCGCACAGGTCTGAACTACTCATTAAAATTATTGACCCTTCCCAATAGCGCAAGAACGAGCTAAACTTACTTACTCCTTTCCTAAATTTCTAAAGCAATAATATATAGCTGCATATACAGACATTTTCCCGTGCAAGCTTTTTCAGAGTATGCCCAGGAAGATAGAGAAGGGCTGGATCCAAAGACAGTGGCTGGAGTCTCTAAAGCGGTCCGGACTGACATATATCAGTTTCATATTTGTGCCAGGGCACGCAGGCGTGCAAGGAAATGAGCAAGCTGATCGGCTTGCAGGTAAAGATATTGTGGAGTTCGAGCGAGCCATGGACCATACTGAATCCTCTACTAGAAGTAAGACGTTTTTAAGAACAGTGAATCTGCAACAATGACCGGACTGCACGAGCAATATGTTAAAAGGGGTGTGGCCAGACAAGAGCATAAGAAACCAACACAGGACTGGTGTCGTGAGCTGCTAATTGCTGCGGGATTTACTAAGGAGGGGATCCGAGTACTTATGGACTGAATGGTTCAGTTTAGTTAGTTAGTTAGTTAGTCTTTCCTCTTGTGTCGAGTGCGGCACATAGGGCAGAGGTCGCGACTCTCCATGCACGGCGGTCCGTTGCAATCCGTTGTAGGTCTTGGATGTTTGAGTGGCCCATGAGCGAGCCTTCCCTGATGATAGTTCTACGTAGGGTTTCCCTTGGTCTTCCACGAGATCTTTTCCCCTGTGGTGTCCAAATGAGGGCTTGGTAAGGAAGTCTTGATTTATCCATTCTAAGGGCGTGGTCGACATAGTTCCAGCGGCGTTTTCGTATAAAATTAGACACACACTCTTGCCTGGATTCTTGCCTTATTTGTGTATTGGTTCGGAAATCTGACCATTTGAAATTTAGTATTCTTCTAAGGAATTTATTTTCAAAACTGTCTAATTTTGTGTCTAGAGTTTTCGTTGATTTCCAGCTCTCGCATCCATGGTTCAGTTTGCAATAAGGATAATATGTCGACTATCTAAATACCAAACTAAATCTCTAACACGCCAGGATTCACCAGGGTAACACTTAATGAGACCCATTATTTTTATCATAATTATGGCCTCTTGTGAGATTGAACGGGTACCTGGCAGTTGTCCTGTTGAACTGACGTGTAGCACGGGTGTTGAATATCACATTTAAAGGTAGCAGACAAACAGTCAAACTGGCTACCATTATCATCAAGTGCCTTGCCGATTGGTGTGGGCGATTATTTCTCTGCAACTTACAATCTCCAGCAGCATGTATCAGTTTGTGTGCAGCCAATCCTCCAAGCCATGGCACAAGGCATCAATAATCTTCTTGCGTAGCCTTCCTCTTTCTTTACTTCCCTCCTCCCCATCCCCACAAATCTGTGCATTCGTAACAACGTGTTCTAGAGCACTTCTTGTCATAACGTCGAGGAAAAAAAAAAAATGAGGACTGTTTTCAATAAGTGTGATATGCTGTCTTCGGGTCCTAGCCTTTTTCAAAACACCTGGATTACTTATTTTGCCTTCCCGAGGACAGCATTGCATTATATCACCCCCCCCCCCTCTTTCCAACCACCCACCCCACCCCCAGGTCTGCAGTCTCAATGGTGACAATCCTACATGTGCAAATCTCAGTATTTCCGTGTGGGTTCCGGGGCCCCTTTGTGGGGAAAACAAGAACAGACCCACTGCCTGCACAAAGCATGCCGTAAGAGTCGACTAAATGGAATTTCCTTCGACGTCGGAGTACATCTGCCTAAGAGGCAAGGAATCAACAGTCTGCATGCAGATGAATCAGACCTGTGAAACGTATATGCATGCAACACTCAGTTTTTGGAACAGGACTATAGTCCAGAAGAGGACAAACAACCATAACTTTCCGTCGGAGTTTAAAGCAGGTAAACGCGAAGAAGAAGTAGAAGAAGAAATCACATTAAACCCCTTTCAACAGTAAGATTTTTTTTTGTTACACTCGACGGTTGTGAAGTAACCCAAAGTCCGGACCAGGTAGGGCTGTATTTTTTCCCCTTTATCCTCTAGAATTGCAGTGCATTGGATTAACATCTCAAAAATGAGAATCAAACAGGTACAACCCCAGAAACTCCATTTACCCACAAAGCCATAAACCACTGTGGTGCCCGTGACGTCAGTAGCAAGGGAAATAAGAGAGAAAAAAAACCATGTATAAATTATGTGCCCCTGCGCGTGTCAAAGGGCAGAGGTTACAAGGCAGACGGTCAGATCTATTTCCGTCCAACATAATACCACCTCCATCAGCTGCGACCAGGACTTGTGGTTTACAGTCCAGTCACATCTTGTGTTCTGTCGGATATCTGCCTGTTAACCTCAACATAGACAGTTATGGGCTTTTTGTAAACTGTTCCTAGTATCAGCTGTAGTTCTTGAGCAGCTGTGTAGAATTGGGAATTCGTTTTCCACATATTTAAAGCAGCTGATGAAAAGTGTGTCAGTTTGTCAGCAAAGCAAGTCAGGAGCTAGTGTTGTAGTCTGTAGTGAGTACCAGGCTTTAGGCGGATTTTACTAGGAGTAATTCTTCTTCTCGTTGGCTTAATATTATATCTTTTGACTGGGAGAAAGGGATATGCTGTATACCCCCCTGTATATAACTGTACAGCCTGTTAATTTAAAATTAGAAACTCAAACATCATGTATACTTTGTCTTCTTAGTATGACGTGTGCTGATTACCTCGGAGATTTTACAATACAGAGCACAGGCAAAATGCCTTGCAGTTTTATTTTCTGCTGAAGAATCTTGAATAGGCCAACAGCTATGCACAACTCAGTCACAGATGATGGTGGCGACAACTCTGCTGTTATTCGTTATAACACTGTCCAGGTGCAAGACCGTTCACCTGACGGACTTGGAATGTATAGTCCCTTACTAGTCCACTACCCAGAAAGTGGGTTTCATATTCCTTCAACTCCTTTCCATGTGCCATATGTGGATGCCACAGCGACAGCGGTGTACCCACCAACTCTGCAGCCAGCTCTCCCCACAACCGTACAGGTCAGCTTGACTATCGTGTACATCGTGATGTTTTCTTTGATATTTATTCTGGTGTATGTCCAGTTGTGGATGATCTGGTATTACAGGCATAAACGTTTGAGCCACCAGACGCTGTTTTTGTTTATGTGCCTTGTGTGGGCAGGGCTTCGGACATCGTTGTTCTCGTTCTACTTCAACAACTGTGATGAGGCCAATAATTTGAGCATACCATGGTACTGGATACTTTACAGCTTGCCTGTTTGTCTACAGTTCTCAATGCTGTGTTTGCTGCTGCATTTCTTTGCCCAGGTAAATGTTGTGTTTATGCATAAGTAATGCTTTTATTAATGTATAATGAACAGTTTTTTGTAATTCATGATATTTGTTTTCTAGACTGTTACAGTCTGTGCTATGGATTATGAATGCTACAGTAGAACCTCACTTAACGAGCACCTCTCATAACGAGTAATTCACATAACAAGCAAAACAAATTGTAAAACAATGACTTGCTTAATGAGCGATGTTTTGTTTAACAAGTGGCGAGGAGAGGAAAAGTCCCTGATTGTGCGCATGTTACATCAGTCTGTGTTTAGCACTCGTTCCAGTAGCACCGTAGTGTCGCTTGTGATCACACGTTTTCTCAATCTTGTGTTATATTGTCAAATATGTACATGAATCTTCCAGACCTACAAGATGACCTCCCTGAAAAATTTAGGTTCATCAAGATCCAGTTTCTGCCTCCCAACACCACTCTGTTACTCCAGCCCATGGGCTGGCAAGTTATTTCTAACTTTAAGAAGCTGTACACCAAAGCACTCTTCGAGCATTGTTTTCAGGTGAATGAAGGGAATAACCTCAATCTCAAAAAGTTTTGGAAAAATCAATTTTACATCGTTGCCTGCCTCAAGATGATCAACAAGGCGGGTGAAGAGGTTACCAAGAGAACTTTAACTTCTGCTTGGATGAAGCTTTGACCGGAGAGCGTTATCGAATGTGACTTTAAAAGGTTCGAGACAGTAGCTGTGAAAACTGTAGTCAACGAGATTGTGTCTTTGGCCACTATCATAGGATTGGAGGTGGATAACAGTGATATCGAAGAGCTTGTGGAAGAGCACAGCCAAGAGCTGACCACTGAAGAGCTTATGAAATTACTTTGTGTTTCACAGCAAGAAGTTTTGGAGGAAAGTTTGTTGGAGGATGAGGTAACAGAAAGCAACAATCTTCTGGCGAAATAAGAGAAATGCTAAAAGCATGGGAAACTGTTGCATCTTACATTTAGAAGCATCACTCTAATAAGGAAGTGGCTATGCGCGCTACAAATTTATTTAATGATAATGTTGTGTCGCATTTTTGCAAAATTTTGAAGCGTCGGCAAAAACAAATGTCTCTGGACATCTTTCTGGTAAAAAAATAATTAGCTATATATCATAATTATTTTGACTTTTTTTTCTGCAAATCAAATTCGCATTCCAGGTGGGTTTGTTCCGCAGTGGCAGAAAAGATAATGATGATTCACTCTCCTTAACAATATGTATACAATTTTCTTTAAATAAACGTTATTATACATAACATTTTGTGAGTACTTTTTCGACATGGAACGCATTATCGTATTTTAAATTCATTTATATGAGAAAAATTGTTTCGCATGACGAGTGTTTTGCTTTACAAGTATGATTCTGGAACAAATTATGCTTGTTAAGCGAGATTCCATTAAATTTCAAAAACGTTCGTTTGTTTTCATTCACTAGCTGTAAACTCCGCCAGATAATTCTGGTTGTTTGTCCACTTCTGGACTTTAGTCTTGTTCTAAACCTTTTAGTTTTGCGTGCATATCTGTTTTACATATCTGGCTAATTTTATGCTCACTGTATGTTCCTCTCCTCTGAGGAAGATGCACTCTGACTGTGAAGGAAACCCCTGATTAGTCGAATTGTAACATTCATTTTAGGGAGGTAGTGAGTCTATTCTTGCCTCACAGTTGGGCTGCACACTTGGAATTCCTACGCAGGGAATTCCGAATACAAGAGGTTGAAGTCAGCTAACTACTTTAGGCTGATTTCAACAACAGCTTAGGGATCAAACTGTTCAGAATGTAATGTTGTAAGAGGTGACTACATTGGACTACTGTGTCATTTAGAAAACTTACTTTACCTGAAAATTTCACCAATCATGAACAGTCTACAAAAGGGCTTAGCATAAATTTATTTATTCAGGGCCAGTTCTACACTGAGCGCTGAAAGGCAGAAGAAGAAGAGGACTGTAACTATTTAGATATGTCTCTATGTAAAGATTTAACTGGATAAAGGTGTTTCTTGGTAGCATTGCGCTGCTGACTTGCGAACATTTATATTTAGTCCTCTTGTATAGTGTTGCTAGGGCAGGTAAATTTTTCTTCTTCTTCTCCTCCTCCTCCTTCTTCTTCTACTTCTTCTTAGCATTCACTGGCTGTAAACTCATGCAGAATTTTCTGGATGTTCGCCTTTTTCTTTAATTCAGTCTTGTTCTAGAACTCTAATTTTGCATGCACATCCATTTTTTGTGCATTTGTGCGTGCGTGCGCACGCACCTGTGGAGAACTTATAAATAGTCACCATTTACAACAGGCTTGTTAGGGAGGCAGTTGGTCTATTCTTTTTTTTCCCTACAATGGGACACCATAACTAACACAGGGGGTTGGGGGGGGGGTATGGGGAGGTTAGCTGCCTATCCTTTACGGGACGTTGCAGAACCAACCCCAACAGCCCCTGGCTGTTGTGTGGTTTTTCTAGGCAAATTTACGTCCACTAGTTTACCATTGCTTTCTGGACAGTTGGCTTTCTTGATACCACTTTTGAAACCAACGCAAGGCGCATGGCCCGCAGCTGGGATCGAACCCTGCATCCCGGCTTTACGAAGCATTCACATCGACTTAGCCCCAGAGCTGACTACACAGGGAGGACAGGCAAATAAAAACACTATGTACTTATGCAAAGTACACAAGGCATTGAAGTATTAGTTTCTTCTGTAGCAGTAGTAGTAATTTTCACATTTTAAAAAATCCTGCTCAACCCTTAGAGGATATAAAGTGTTCATTGAATTTCAGACTAATTTTGTTTCTTCATTGAATATTTTATAATCATTTCTTCCAGGCATTTATGCAGTTTACGTCATTATTATTTAAATTATTATCCTGTTCACACTATTTGGGTTGTGATTACGACAAATACCATACAGTACTCTGTCTTAAAATAGTGGATTTATTAGTCCTTCATATCACTGTTTATCATCTTAATTTTTGTTAGCATTTAAAGTATATGCAGTAAAATCTCATTAACACAAACTTACGAACACTTGGTTAACATGAAAACAATGTTAGTCCCATCATTGTATTTGTTTGGGATCCCCAGTTAGTACAAGTTGTTTTTTAACATGAACTGTTGATTTTTCATCTCTTGAAATTTGTGTTCACAAGGTATTTTTTTTCTTTTTTTTTTTCTTTTTGTATTTTCAAAGATTACATTTGCTTTTCCTTACCATTCTTTAACAAATGAAATACCAGCAACTCAGATGGAGGATTTTTTCCAGAACAAAAAATATTCAGCTTAACAAAATTATATTAAACGTTTGTTGTTGTTATTGTTGTGAATTTAAATATTGAAGAGCATATTTCCGTGTATCTTGTCAGTCATTGTAACAACGATTTTTTTTTTCAAGGTATCTCTTTGACATATCCATACCCATCTTTAGTTATCGGCTACCAATATATGCACATATTTTTCATGTCTTCTGTTTATGTTCATTATCTCTGTCACTTGAGATAATTTTCGCTTGTTACTTGTTATCTATATCAACATCAAAGCACATCAGTCTGACCCATTCGTTCTCTGTCCTCCATTGCAGCAGCCATCTCCATGCTCAACATATCTTGAAAGAGTTGATTGGCATATCTTCTCTTTTTACCCTGCAACCAGTTTCTGCATGCATCTCCTCATTTAATACTCTTTTCCAGCAGGCGGTTTATAAACACTGAATCTTTTGTCTCAACAGCTTTGGAATACAGCACATTCAGTATGTCTGCCCTATCCATACTTCTTTTTACTTCCTCCGCCAACTACTGAGGATAATCTTCACTTTGTTTATTGTTGATATTGCAACTGACTGATAAGGCTTATTTCTGTTATCTTCTCCTGTTTTTATTTAACTCTTAGCATACAATGTGTCATTTAAAGTAGCTCAGAATCACTCAGTTGACCAAACTCAACTTAGAGTGATTTCTCTTGTTGAGACTTTAAAACTGCAGTTTAATTTAAATATGTGTCGTGTATTTGATTCTAGTATTTCTGTACGTCAGTTCTGGAAATCTGTAAGAAAATGTAGCTGTTTTTAATTTTTTAATTTTAAGTTTATTTAAAATGTTGAGCTTCTAATTACTGACCAATCTCTGCTGAAAATGTTAACCTGAACTTGGTTTTTGAGTACATATACTCAAGTTCATCCTCATTAAAATGAGTTTTGAGTACACACAAGTCCACTAACATGGGGTTCATTGAAGTAAGCAGATTACCCTCCCTCTTTATGATAGTAGTGCATCAGGCATATAATACTTTATTGAAGAAGTACAAAGTGCTCATAGTATCTTTGAAGATGTTTCCCCTAAAGAAAAAATCGTGGAGAATAATCAATGATTGCACACAGAGGAAACAGTATATCCACGATGTTAAATACTGACACAATGTAAGTAAGATTGTTTAATTATTTTTAGTTCATTTTCAGTCAAAATGGAACAGGGTACATTTTAAAGGGGAAGAGAAGATATATAAAAGTAGAGAGAGAGAGAGAGATGAGAAGAAATAGTAGTTAAAGGATGTATGAGAGGACAAAAGGTTCTCCTATGTGGAGAGTGTAGTAATAAGTCTACACCCCAAACGATCAGGTAATAGTCAGTGGAGGTGTGAAAGAGAGTAGTATAGTAAAGTTGTGGTATAAAAACTACAGCAAATAACAATAATAGTACCACTTCTATACTCAACAAACTAACGATTGAATAAAAGAATAACAACTAAAAATCATGTTTATTAAGAAACATAATTACAAAGTCGTATATCTCATATTACACAACCAAGATGACCTTGACGCAAAAGATGTTACGCTCAGTTATAAACAGACTGTCCTCACACTATAAAACCTCAGATAGTTCAACAGCTCATTGCAACTGACAGCAGAATCTACTCAACGATAAACTAGCAAGAGACTCCTAGAATCTCCTTTATTGCTATAAAACATTTATTATCAATTAGCCAACTAGATACGCCTACTCTAATAATAAAAGC